TTTGAGGTGGTACCCTTAAACATTAGGGCATGCGTAACATGCAAAGTACACAAGTTACCATGACAATGCACAATGTATGCAGGAATGAAGACAGTGTTTTATTTAGTTATTGTTGGTAATTCACGTACATTAGCCTGTAATTAAAATGTAATTGTAATTCAGTAGCTTTTTGTAACTGCATTTTACAGTTCCTTGGAAAACTTCCTTAAGGCCATGAACAACTATACACAGTGTTATCAGGGCTGTCCACTTACTACTGTAGTATTTTTGTAGCACAAGAATGTAAATTCCTCAAGCTTCCGCTTACTATAATAATAGTAAATCCGAATTCTTCTGTACTGAAAGTTTTTACAGGTACTGTTTATATATGGACTGTCCAAGTCACGACTGCCACAGAAAATGGCAACAGAAGGTGTTCCACCGAGTCTTGTTCCCCGTAAGCTCTCCCTACCCGGTGGTAGGACCCTCCCTCCCTCCATCCCCCTCATCATCTCCAGTCAGGACAATTGGGACCCACTCTCATGCCAACTGGAGACTCACAAGCAAGATCCCAACAACCACACACTCAAGCTCGTGGAGGATGCCATTGAACTCCTTCGTAGTCTTGACAAGCCCCTTGCCATCCTCTCTATCTGTGGTCCCTACCGTTCAGGCAGTCTACTTCATGTCTCGCGTTCTAGGCAGCCCTGAGCCTTTATGCTGGGCCACGCATGCAGGCCTGCACTCGAGTATCTGGATGCAACTACCGTCCTAGAGTGCCAAGATTTTACCACCGTCGATTGATAGATACGGAGGGGTATAGTATTTTGCATTTTTTGTTGTTTTGGATCGTGTAGTCCTCTGGGAGACCATATGCCATTGAGCTTTGTTCACCTCACCCCAATCCTCAGCTCCTCATCATCTACAACTCGAAGAAGGAGGCATCAGAAGGGGGACCCTCACCAGATGAGGTTGAACGTGTTTCTCCCAACTCTCATCATCCCTCCTTGCCTCAATGTGGTGTGAGGCAGTTTCAACAATTCAGGAGAACTTTTTTCCCAAAATTTTGTGGTGCTGCGAGTGTCGTATCAAGGATGACAAACAGGGAAGTGAGGTTTAGTGACAAAACGAGTTTATTCACACACGTTGTCCTGCATCTGGAATCAGAGAGCTACACCTGATTGGGCAAAAGTCTCTAGTCAGTTTTTTCCCCTATATGAAGTGCCACTCTCCCCCATACCTTACACCAAGGAGAAATCATCCCAGTGGCATAGTGGTGGAACAGCACGACAAGCTCAAACCAGCCTTCAATGCGAGCGATCGAGCTCTCATCCAACGATCCTCCAGAAAGTTGCTCCAAAAGGGTGTGGAGGGACTACTAACCGAGGTGAAGGTTGAGGGGTGGATGGGGTGAGGGTGTTTGGGGGGGCCCGCGGGTTGAGGTGGGAACGGAAAAGCTATGGCTGCTCTAGTTGGGGGGCATGGGAGGCAGTCAACAGGCCAGGAGACCCTACCAGACCTGGACCAGGGCTGGCAGGCTGTGGTGAGGTGGAATGCTGAAGGAATGCTCTACATAGCTGGTGATGGGAGTATGAAGGGAAATGATGGCAAGCTTTGGAAGGCAATCGCCAATGGAAAGAGAAATCTGTTAACGAATTCACCAAGACAATGGCGAGGGAAGAAGAGTGTTCTAAGAGAGGAAAATCTGTCGTGGTTAAACCCTCTCAACAAGCGACGAGGAAGTCCCGCCACTCCGTGACAGCGAGAAAACAAGGATATTGTGCGACGAGTGGCCCCGCAATGGCGGGGAGGGGGGAAGCAAGAGGTCACCGGAGGAAGCCTTGTATCAATTCACCGAGCAAAATGCATCGGCATCAAAGAAGCACTGTGAAAAACTCGCTTGCTATCTTCGTGCTGAGCAAAGTCCAGCAAGGTTGCAAGAGCGTTAGGACTCTATTCCTCTCGATATCCAAAGAGAAGCAGTTGGAATCACTGACTGATCTACTCAGCCTGCTGTAGGACCAGCTGTCCAGTGAAGTCCTAGAGAGCGGACTGTCAGACTTGATCAACGGGCAGATATCTCAGAGACAATCCTGCCAGCCTCTGAGTGTGAAGTGATGGAAGAGGGCACGATAGACAAGCTGCAGCTGGGATTCCTCAGCCAATAACCCAGAAGCAGAGTTGAAAGGAGTATGTGGTGTACAGGGAAAGTTGAGGGTGGAGAATGGAGAAGAGGCAGCCAGGACTCAGAAAACAAAGGTGTTGGTGCAAATGAAGGACTGAAATCACGACGCACCAAGCTGAGTACGATGTGCTAGGTACTATTCGCTAGATGCGGGCTTATAGAGACCAGACATGTAAGTTCTCAAGCTAGTCGCTATCATAGCACGTGTGACTAAGTCTGTCGAAAAGAATATTATTCTAGTATGGCTGCTGAGGTTTCACCTGCTGCAATGAAGCTTTGGTGTACTGTACTGCGTGTCGTGTGGTGGCTCATTCTGCCGCCGTGTATGTCAGTAGGCAAAGGGCAATGGACGGGAGTTGATTATTACGATGATCTTCGACCGTAGCAACAATGTCATGACTCTAACGAAAGATGTCTTGATGGGACTCACTATTGCAGCTCTGCGGTGGGCATATGCCTTTGTCACAATACTGCACCTGTGTTGCAGTCGCTTCTGCAAAATTGGGACCTAAAAATCTGAACAGAGTGGAGGGATTGATGCAGACGATTGGTCGATTAAACAGCAGCTGATCGTTATTGGCTCAAGTGATTTAAGTTAAACGTTAAACCTGTGTGGAACTACTTTAATCAAAACTAACCCTTAGGACAATGGAATATATTACCCTCGGTGTTATACGTGAATATTTGTTTATTGTGTGTCTGTTCACTAAACTTACACGCAATTTTGTATAGTATTGCAACCTATATTTTCCCATTCCACATTCCAGTGTATCACTAGGTATAGATCTTGTACTGCATGTATTGGGATCCACAGTCCATTTGCCATTATGCCCATATGTTTGAGATTTTACTTTCAGTTTCAACTTCTGACATAGTTACCAATCAGATTGTATGGTCAAAATAAGCATGTACCTAAGATTCTTTCAAGAAATAGCTTGCTACTCCAATACATTCTGGCCTTTTCATTGATGTTTTTAGAAAAAAACTGTATGAAGTTGCACACACAATTAAATTGTATAGTCAGTAATTGATTTATTTAGCGTTAAAAAAATTCTTATTGCTGTTATTATTTCATATTAACGGTGTATCTCAAAACACGAGGTTAAATACGGAGTCAAAACTTAGTGCTCGACAGCTTGAATAATTATTATGGATTTTACACTCTAAACAACAAGCGATACCCCCAGGCCATACAGGACAAAACAAAATGCACTGAATAGTTTTCGGAATCATAACACGATGTCTAAATTATTGACATTAACAATACAAGTTTGTAATCAAAGAGCCTCGAGCAATAAGTGTTGTTTGTGCCTGTAACTTTGTTCCTCTACCAAAGCAACTTTGTAAACTGCAATACACTGCACCAAGTTTGTATATAAGCAACACCAACGGGCATCAGGCTATATTAACTCATACTTTGTGCCTATAACTTGCTTATGCTGGGTCTTCCTTTTACACTTATACACTACAATAAGAGTTCAAAAAGTTTGCAAACAACAAGGAGTGTGTGGTGTGCAAGAGAATTGAAGGTACTTTTGTGAAGGGATTGAAATCACGCACCAAGCTTGAGTACGATGGGCTAGATGATTCATACATGCTGCAATCAGACCGCTAATGTGAGTTTCAAGTATATAGCTAGTTGCTCTCAATAGCACTGTGACAAGTCTGGCAAAAGAATATCTTTCTTCGGTTGCTGAGGCTTCCCCTGCTGCAATGAAACCTTTTGGTGTCTGTTCTGATGTAAATACCAGACTAAAAATGAGCTATAGAAAAACAGAACTGCATGTATCACAATAAAAAAGAAAGAATGTTGTGTGTGTGTGTGTGTGTGCAAAGTATCATGTGTCTCTCAGTGACTGAAGTTCTTGTCCTGGTGTGTCAAAAGTTGCACTGACGAAAAAAACACCTTTGCTCTGAAAAGGAAAAAAGACAGGTGCAAAGTCAGGTTTCATTTTTCATGTGTATGCATCAGAGAAGCATGTAAGAAAGAAACTAGCCACTGATGGTAGTTGTGATGCAGCTATTCAAGAGTAGTTATTCGTAATGTCTCACATCTCTCTTCTTCTTGTAGTGGATACCAGCCCACACAGCAACAAGGATAACCAAGACCAGGAGAATAGCTCCTCCCACAACTCCAGCTGCTATAATCAGGTTGATCATCAAACTGTGTTGACACACGTAACATATGTAAAAGATGCATAAAAAGTAGCCTCTCTATAAGTATATATATAAAGGTTCTCATTACGAGGTGAAAAACACTGTATTAACAAGTACCCACCTGGTGAGGACACACTGTTTCTCAGATGTGTCATACTCCATCCCAATAGGGCAGGAAAGGGACGCACTCTCTGTTAACCTCGTCCTCCACACACTCGGTACAGTTCCTACTGGATGGTCCCTGTGCACCCAATACAGTACTCATGGCATGGCAGGCAGGTGCCTTTTGCTTCATAGTAGTCTGAGGGGACACATTGCCAGACACATACAGACGCCGTCAGTTGTGAAGTTGGCATTACGACAGGTTATGCAGTCTGTATTGCTACTGCCTCTACAGCCATTGCATTCGCAGTTACACTCCTGGCATCTGTACGCACCACTCTCTGGGGAAAGGAAAGTGTTCCCCTGACACTGGGGTACACACACCAGTCGCCTCTGACTATCCACGATGCTGTCTTCTCTGCACATCACACAGTCTCTGTCGGTCGGTCCGGTACAGCCTGAGCACTGTTCGTGGCACATGACGCAGTCTGATGCAGAGGTCTGCTCACACGACTCTAGACAGGATATTCGGGGAGTGGTAGAGTTGGTAAGGAAGGCATAGGAGCAAGTGAGGCATTCGGAGGTTGTGGGGCCGTCACAGGAGGAGCAGAGGGAGTGGCACCGCTGACAGAGGAGGGTACTCTCTGTGACAGTGGGAGGGAGGGAGGAGGTGATGGAGGAGAGAGACGTGGAGAAGTACCCCTTTGGGCAGGAAGATGTCGCATCAGCACATGCCAACTGTAGGGAAAGGGAAGTATCATTATCACTGAACATTATTACCATACAACATAGACACTGCTAGGTTACTTTGCAAGTTTAGGTGGGTTCTTGTTTTACCAGTAGTCCACCAGTTGACTATGCCGGGAGAGTATAATGTGTTGGAAATTTTGTACTACATAAAAATCAATGTAGCCATTAAGATGCTCAATTATTCATTCTAGTACTGGAATTTTGTACTGTATGAATGAATTTACTTGCCAATATGTGTTGCCATTTATTCTAGTATAATTTCGTACTGATTAACTATAACTACAGCCATACATGTGCTCGCCAAAATGACTCTATGATTTCGCCCAAAATGTGTTGCGTGTGTTTTAGTGTATATATTACTGTAGCCATACTTGCTTCCCCTGTTGGTCTAGTAACAGGGCGTGGCAGGAGTCACAGCCTCCAGGGCCGACAATGGGGGCAGGTCCAGTGCAGCTCCCTTCACACTCTCCCGGACACTCCAAACACTCTCCCAGAGTCTCATTGTTGTAGGTGTTGGAGAAACATGCCTTGTCTGAGATAAAAACACATGAAATGTGATGAGATATACTATAGGTGTAATAATTATAGTCCTTTATACATATGTGATATGATGAGATATGCTGAATGTGTATTATAGTGCACACGAGTAGAAAGATAAAGAACTTGCCTACACACATCTTAGTGGCATTAGTTTTTTCCCAATGTGTAATACTTACACAGTTGTTGGACTTGGAAGGCAGTGACAGGGATGACAGGGTTTCCACTTGTATCACTCACCACACCCACTGACAGGGAGAGATAGAGAGAGTCCACCGAGCTAGCTATAGAGTCGACCAGGAGTCTGGTGATGACAGGAGGAGAGAGAGAGATCTCTATAGTGTTAAACCCAGTCTGGTCGCTCTTATCTTCCTCAGATAGTTGTATGACTACTGTTGCCTCCTGTGGTGCATTCATGAGCGAAATGCTTGTCTCTATCTTTCCCATCTGTCTAACAGTCTCGGAGAAAGTGAGGTAGACTTTGGAAACAGGTGTCAGGTCGGCATTAAACTCTTGTAGCTCAGGAGGTGTTGTGTCAAGACTAAAGTCAGTGGCTCCAATGCTGGCATTTGGAGATAAAGTTTCAACTAACATCGGTCACCAGGTCTGATGTGAAGCTAATGAATGTCGTTGTAGTACCAATGGCTATATCTGGGGCGTGCATGCTTTATGTAGTTGAAATCAGATTGGACCACTACAAACAGCCAGGGTTATCTCAACAAACCATATCTCCATATTCAGGGCCACGACAGTAACAGTACGGTTTTGCTGAATTGTCATATTATGTTGATGATGAAGGCCTACTGGGAGGTGCAGTTAGGGCAGTTATCAAAAAATCGGCTGCATTGTAAAAAGGAACTTTCACTTTCTCAGGTAATGATGAAAAACAGAAAGGAGGATCCATTGGCAAGAACTGAGACTGGGTCGTCATTAGTTTCCTTCAAAGCAGGAGGGAATCACTTTGCACACTTCCACCTGCATCAGTCCAACATAGCGCGCAGCGCACTTAGTGCTACCGCATATTTACTTACCTCAATTGAGCGAAAGAGACGCGAGGACAAGCAAAGGAAGTGATGGAGTCTCTCCACTCGTTTGTAAGCCAGCGACAGCAAGGTCTTCTCCCACATAACATCTTCCCTAGAGCCGTCAGAGGTATATAAAATAGCTGCACAAACCGTCTGCTCAGCTGTGGAGCATGTGAACGTACTTTGGTCCGGCGGATTCCTTATATCTGGTGAACAGAGACTGACAAATACTAGATACTGCAGGGACATAACGGATGTGTGAGTTTAGTGACATATCAGTGCAGAATTTTCCAGAAAATGTAATATTCATACACCCACATGCACCAACAAACATTTCTACAACTTTTTAATTGCAGTGCGGGTATGTGACCTGTCGGTTCGCTATAGTGGCGATCTACAGAGAACATTCAATACTATTGCCCACAGAAACGTTCCTACAGTGGTTTACTTGTTAATTGCAACACATTAGCACATGTTAATGAGGGGGGAGGAGCACTGGGTGAGCGAACGCCCCCCAGCCCTGCCCGGCACTTTCACGGCAATAGCTGGAAAGAGAAAAAACGAGACGAGAAACAGACGCTCGGAGCTTGCTACTCGCGATTGGCAAACCGACGCGGTCGATCTGAGAGGCGCGTAACCTCACGTGCCTCAATACCCCTTACCCCTTACCCCACTCACTGACAACACCACGCATGCGCGCCCCTCTGCAGTTAACTGGATCTATAGGGGGTTTAAACCCTATCTACTGTGCTGTGTGTCTACCACTGTCTCTACAGTGGCCACTAGTCCAGGCTGTTCCTCACGAGTTCTTCACATGTGAGGAGTTGGGAATGGTCAGTTGATGCCTTCGGACCCGGCCAGCTCGTGCCACGTGATGGACAACCGCAACCGAGTAAGCTTGCACTTCTACGTACATTGTGTGTGTGTGTGTGTGTGTGTGTGTTTGCATGGGGGAAGAGAGAAAGAAGAGTGAGAGGCTTTTGTCCGTGGTCACATGCATTGGCTTTTTAGACAGATACAGATACCTGCCTTGGGCACATTACTGCTGCATCTGCTTACACATGTGTGGAGTACCGTGTGGAGCACCAATAATTGCGTGGGCGGCTGAGTATGCGCGTGGCTTGTACTGGATGGCAGGGGGATTTTTACGCTGTGTGTGTGTGTGTTTATACATATATGTCACTGTTGCTCGGTGTTCATGGATTCCGTGCCGTGTGTACCTCATGTATTTTCACGTGCAAAGGATCACCCTGGTACTGTAGCGCTCCACTCTTCACTCTATGTTTTTCTCCCACGCACTACTCTGAAATGGAGCTCGTATGTCTCCTGACTCTCGTTTCGTTTTTCTTCCTTACTCTCTTTCTTTTATCTCCTTCCTCTACTTTTTCCTTTTTTCTGTTTCTCCGTACTTTCTTTTTCCTCTCTCTCTCTCACACCTTAATTTTTATCTCTTTCTGTCTTGTGACGTCCATGTCGGTCCATCCTCTAGAGCCTCACTATGTAGTGGAGATGGGACACTTCGTCTTCTCGACAGACGGCGCAGCGACACCTGGCAGGACCCAGCACCCGACTCACCACTCCAGATACTTCATGCCTGTGTCTGTGTCCCAGTGAGGCCTGTAGCAGGTGGGGCAGGGCTAAGGTCTCCGCCTGCCACAACTCCTCCACCCAGCCCCAGAGCTGGGGGAAGTTCAGTAGACTCTCCGTCTCCAGTACTAACAGTGGACCAGTCATCACTTTCACCAGTGGAGATGTCTGCAGAGGTGAGCAAAGAGGTGGTTGTGGGTAGTGCTGGGGAACACTGGAGGCTAGCTGACTAAGGCTAGGTTCACAATGTCAAATTTCCCTGTAGTGCCGTGCTGCATTGCCATGATACAAGGATAGAATCTCTTTTATCTTTGCGGCACAATGCAATGGGGCATGTGATGTATATAACTGTGAACCCAGCCTCATCGTGAGAAGTGTCAGCAAACCTATACAGGTACTGTATGTTTCAACTGACACTGGCCAACATCTGACTATGGAATTAACCTAAATGTACCAACCAACTGACATAATACGTAGCAAAGGACCTCGACGAAATACAAGACAGATATCTACATGGAGTGTGACCGATCCATCACTACTGATGACAGCAAGCCTGTCTTCCAACAGGTAATATAATGCGTAGTGTAGTAGCATGCACGGAATGTAGTGAAGCAGTTAGGGGGGAATGTGCAGCAAGTACACCAGTCAGCCCCCCCCCCCCTTCGTCCTCAATTGCTCCGTGGGTATAACCCTGTGTCTTCCTCAATTGCTCCATGGGTAAAATCCTGTGTTGTTTTTCACGTTTCAATCTTCAGTGTGACTTCTGTATGTACAATTGTGAATGTTGTTGGTTGTGTGATGATTGCAGAGCATGTCAAGGGGCTGAACGAAGGTGCTGTTCTGGTCCAGTCCGTATGCATGTCACAGTGAGAGGACCAGCTGTACTCACACTGTGGGGGACAGGTTCTTTGACTTCACTCCTAACTCTGGGGAGAAGGCCTGGAAGACAGACCACAGGTAAGACCTTAGACACATGTGTGTATATACAATCTATGTTGCTATTGTATACCATAGTGGAGTCCAGAGGTTAGATTGCTACACTTAGACATACAGTAGATTACTACTGAGAACAGGGCTTGAGGAACATAGGTTTAGAAAGATTTGCTTTGCTGTAACCCTGGGGGGAAAACCTGGATAACACACTACTGGTATCATCAGTTCGTACAGTCTACATGTGGCTTTTGCTTTTAATAGGGTGTTCATAATGGAGCCTACTACTCAACTAAGGTTAACCCAATGCAATAGCTACTGTATGTACATGCTGTACGAACTAGATAGAAGGCTTGATGAACATAGGTTGTGAACTGAGAAGAGAAATATTCTGCGCATTCCGCTATGTTCATACACACGAGGAGATAATATTGTCAGGAATTTAGTACATTTGCTAATAGCATGATGAGTTACTCTGTTTTCTATTATAGCGGAAATGAGTACTATGTCAACTTGTGTGGATCAATTCCAGAATTCACTGGTGAGCACCCCAGCATCCATGCTCAACACCTATACACACACACACACACACACACACACACACGCACGCACGCACGCACACACACACACCACGATCTCTCTCCCTCCTCCCAGGTTGTGATCCAGAGACTGCAGTCTGTCTGCACACGTCAAAGTGAGAATGGCTGAGTATTGGAATGACCTCCACTCAGGAGATTATTAACCCTCGGTGCGCATGGTCTGTGTGTCTGTTACTCTATATCTCACTCCTCGAACGTCTGTTCGTCCCAGGAACGATACCATCTACCCAACGGACGGTCAGAAAATAAAGGCGGTTTTCTCTGAAAATGCTCCGTTGCAAAGCTAGAGCGCGAAAAAGCCAATATGCAAATACACAACGGACGGGATGGCTTACCACAGTCGGATCGATCCGCGTGCTCTGCGTACTCCGGATGCACCAGAAGATGCAACGCAGGGCGTGTATCGCCTCTCGCATGCTATCTAGTAGTGTAGTTAGCCCGCGTCAGACTCTGCGCGAGCTGGCAAGAGACCACGAGTAACAGCTAAAACTAAACCCGGCCCATCAATTAGTGGTACGGCGCTTGCGTTTACTTACGCGTGCGCGTCACAGTGCGCCGAAGGTTTGCACTTCAGTGCTTTTCATTGGAACTAGTAAGACATCTCCCACTGCCCCTTTCCCCCTTCTATCAATCCTTTATTGGCGAGCAAAGCGAGTCTAGTCGTATTTGTCTCAATGCAGCCTTTTTTCTACACTGATCTGTGACAAGCACTGCACATACCACAGCTCGGCGCGCATGCGCAGCGAGGGTTACTGTAGTTGTCCTGTGTGTCTGTCTGTTACTCTCAATCTCACTTCACGGGTGTTTGTTCGTCTCACAAAGGATACAACCTACTTAACGGGCGACGAAGGTCGGAAAATATGTGGGGTTTTCTCTGAAAACGCTCCGTTGCAAAGCTAGAGCGCGAAAAAGCTAATATGCAAATACGCAACGGACGGGATGGCTTACTGCGGTCGTGCTCTGCGTACTTCGGAGGCACCAGAAGATGCAACGCAGGGCGTGCAACGTAGGGCGTGTATCGCCTCTCGCATGCTATCTAGTAGTGTAGTTAGCCCGCGTCAGACTCTGCGCGAGCTGGCAAGAGACCGCGAGTAACAGCTAAAAAACTAAACCCAGTCCATCAATTAGTGGTACTGCGCATGCGTTTACTTACGCGTGCGCGTCACAGTGCGCTGAGGGTTTGCACTTCAGTGCTTTTCATTCTAACTGTGCTTGTGCTAACCAAAAAATTAGTTGCATTTGTTCTAGTGAATATGCAGCACCACGTTATGCTTTTGGATGTTTTAACTACGTTTATCGTTGTGGCTTGTGCAAGTTAATCCAAGGAGGGGAAAGTTTTATAAAAAAAAGAGTTATATTATGTTGATAGTAAAGTTTTTGGCAAGCAAAGTTTTGAAGTTAGGCGCCAACGCGACACTGTAGCTCTAACCCTAAATTTCCCCTGTCCTGACTGTGTATAGGAACGTCGATGTGGATTCAGACGAACTCAACTGACGGTTTCTCTCACGCTATTGTCAATATGGAGTGTGTGGACGACAGTGCTGACGTCAGCAGAGCTGAAACTGTGAGCAACGGTTTCTTAGCAGTGAAACAGGGTTTGAGAGTGAATGTCTCCACAGATGAAGTTTGTGAAAGTCACTACGTCCACCGCTGGCAGTGAGAGGCACACATTCTATCACTTCAACATATGGACCAAGAAAGGCTGCTCCTTGTAAGAGCACTGCAATTAGCAACAACCTGTGAGATTGGTATCATGTGTGCATTTGTCTCTTTGGATCTTAGGCATTACTACGTAGGCATGGATTTACACAAAATGTGGGGAAACATACATACATAGGTGGACCCTAAATGCTAGTATTGTATGTGGAATTGGCTAACTGTGTTACTGTAGGCCATGTGCATCTTGCCAGTGCTAGTAAGTAAGATATAGAGTTAAAACTTCTCTGCTAAGTGTATGCATATAAGAGCTGGCACTTTCTTCACTGGGTTACCACAGAGTAATTTATCCTCGCTCCCGATCTCATGCCTGGTATATTCAAAGAATGGTTCAATAATGTTTCTCTGCAGCTCTACGCCCAACCAAAACACCGTACACTCCCACCAATCACCACAATAGTACAGATAATGGCGGGGACCACAGTGGTAGCAGTGGTTCGTCTGGCTCTGGTGGTACCTCATCGACCGTTGTGGCTCTGTTGGGCACACTAGTGGTACTGATGGTAGCCACCATTTTTCTTGCCTTTATCTTCTACAAGAAAGAGAGACAGTAAGCTAAGGAGTACCCCACAGTCTGTAGCTCATTAGATTGTGTTCCTTGTAGGGATAGATTTATTAACTTGTTCAAGAACAAGTCATCTGAACCGGTCAAGTATGAAAAGGTGAGTAACAATAGTGTACAGTGTACTTAAGAATGTGCCTCTCTAAAAAAAAGGGATCTGGAGAAGAAGTCGGGATTACGACAGAGGAGTCTGCGGTGGATTGTTTCTTTCTCTCCCCACGAAATTGGCAGAGAAAATGGCCATTAACCACAAGTTTGCATTTCCTATACTGTTGATACAACTACAACTCAAAATCCAGACCTAACTCAAACTCGTGATTTGAAGCTTTTCCAAATTCCAAAATCGTATTGTGGTACTTGATGCAGCATGCTTATTATGTCACACCAAGATATCTGGTATACTGGGGCCACTTTTTCCCAAAATCTACTGCCAAAACCTCACTCAGCTAAGTTTGTAGCTAGCCACCCAGTGTTTCTGCTCTATACTGTGCAGTTACCAATGACTCTTACCGAGGAGACGTCTCTACTGGAGGAGGGTAGTAGTGGGAGTGAATATGGGGAGGGGAGTGGGGAGGAAGAGGGGGAAGGGGAAGGAGGGAAGGGAGGGAAGAGAAGACCCCGTGACAAAGACGAAGAACTCATTATTTTATAGTGGTACTTAGTGTGACTGTCTCACAACTGTACACATACTTCACTGCCATTATTTTAACTATCCTTGATCTAGTGTTTCTTTTTGCTGGAACAATTGAGCACAATTTGCCAAGTCAGCAAGAACACATTAGCTAGTGTACGTCCGCTGTCGTATTGTGGTACTTTGATGACTAGCTATGCTTGATTATGTCAACAACCAAGATATTCTGGTAATAAACAGATACACGTAATATCAGTTAAGGTTAAAGTACAATGTTTCTATTGATGCTTTAACTTTCCTTTTCCCAGTTCTCCATAGAGTTGCTCCAAATGCACGAATCTTCAAGTATCGTTTGTAATCTCCTTTTGGAACCTTCTTTCCATCTACCCCTTCCTCTTGTTCCCTGTGGTCGTAGGGAGTTTCCGCCAACATCTGTCCTCGGAACCTACTGACTACTTCGTCTACTTCATCTTTTGCTGTAGAAGTCGCAGGATGCTGTATATAGGGATAATGTATTTCCTACAGTCCAATGAATGTGTGGATACAGTGAACCCAATGCACGTTTGGCAAACAAGCGTGAAAGCTGAAGTAAAGTCTGTAGCCTCATTCCCAGGCCTCCCCCGATACGTGTATGTTTATGCGACGTGGCTTTTAGACTGTCCTGTTTGCGCGCCATGCGTCGTATAAACGTACACATAATGCAGAAGGCCAGGGAAAGACGTTAGGTGCCCTGGTAGCTTAATTGGTAGAGTGCTTGCCTAGAGAGCAGAGTGTCACGGGCTCGAGTCCAACCTAGGGCACTCTTCCTTTTTCCAGGAAAAAAGAGTTGTCCTGGGTGTAGTTGACTTGTTTGCTTTGCCCTTGCCATTCTATCTCACCTTGTTATGTTATGACATGCAATGTGCATCATCCACTGTGATACTTGCAACACATTGAGACATGGGTATGTATGGCAGGATAGAGAAGCTATGTCTTACCTCCACATCAGTGGTGCTATCTGGCTGCCCCCAGTGGTTTAGTTCATTGCAGACATCAGGAAACTCATTAGCAGATGCAATACTCAATGCTGTCACACCCGCCTACAGTAGTGACAGATAATTAGATAGAGTGAGCTAGGTTCGAATTGACCAATCAGATTGTAAAGCCGAGGTTTACTATTTCCCATAGTAAACCTCACTACTAGTAAACCTACAGAAACTACAAAACCTACAGATAAAACAGGAAAACATGACTAAATGTTCATGTAAACAACAAGGTCAACAAACAGAATCAACATTGACGCGTCGTCCACGCGCACGCGCAGACTATGTGCGCAGGGAAAGAAGGCGGAGTCATTACCACGCATCTTTTTTGCCGCTCGCCCTTGCGCTCTGAGCCAGTCTCCATCGAGTCATCGTTAGAAGCGCTCCGCCATACGAACGAATAGGAAAGCCAGAGCGCTCAACGTGAAGCGCTCACTCTAAAATAGTTAGACTCAGTAACTACGCGCCGGTAGAAAGCCTCGTGCCCCGGGGGTAGCGCCCTCGCTGCGCTCGGGGCGCCACAATGCCGGGGCTCTCGGCTTTCTACTACTCGTAGTTAGCTACCTCGAATCAGCGTCTAACTATTATATAATATATTGACATATTTTGGCAAGTGAAGTGAGTAGTTCGATTTTTTTAGCGTTTTGCACGTAATTATAATCACGCGTAACATCATGCAGTGGTCGGCATTACATAATGAAAATTCCGCATTCAGACGACTAGGCAGGCAAGTGAAGTTATGAGTGTAGCTCACCAAATTCCTGATCAGTGGGTCAGCTCCATGTTCCATGAGGACCTTCACTGTGGCCAGATGACCTCCATTGCAGGCAAACATCAGAGCTGTGTATCCAGTATTCTATGGAGGACAGATGTACAATTGAACCCATCAAGTATGACATAACATGTGACACATCAAGCACAGCACTGCGAAAGCTACCACAATGGGTACAATTGTCTTACTTTAACTTGCTGTAATACTCAACTGATTGCTGGAGGTTAGGATTAGCTTGAGAGTCAAGTAGCAGTTTTGTCATCTCTGAGTCTCCTTGTTCACAACACATCATCAGAGGAGAGAGTCCTCCCTGCACATAAACCACACATACAAACAATCTCTAATGTCACATGGATTACTAACAAACCTGCTCCATTTGGTTCACATTGGCATTAGCCTGTACTAATTCCCTGACCATTGCCAGGTTTTTGTGTCTTACAGCCTGCAGCAGTGGAGTCTGTCCACGCTGGAGGAGATAATAAGAGTCAGAAGTGCAGTTGGAGAGTTAGTAAGATTACGTTATTGCAGCCATTTGGGTAGGCACCAGCTCTCAGGAGGACAGAAGCTGTGGTCAAGTCATTGTTCTGACAGGCTAGAAACAGTGCTGTGTCATTATACTGCAGTAAGAACACCATCATTGTACTCCATGCAACAATAACCAATCCCATAATACCTTCTTGGTAATAAGGTCTACTGTGGTTCCATTTTGTAATAGCTTTTCCACCACCTCGACATGTCCGTTTAGAGAGGCTATTATCAGTGAAGTCATCCCATCCTAATCAAACATTACACTGCAGATAATGATGTGCTCAGTATTGAGAGTATATAGTTGTGTGGTCAAAAACTATTAGCAAACTAGTGAGGCAAACTGACGTTACTAGGCTATCTCATTCTATTATCATACACCGAGATTTTGAACATATTTTACAGGGAGACATGAAAACCATGAGATCCATGATTAGAACATTCTCCTTTTATTACCCTATTTAAACTACATAGAGTTGTGAGTATCCTCTATACATAGTATTACTTACTCCCCAATTAGTCTTGTGAACCAGCCGTATTTTTTTATGGGGGAGGGGAAGAAAAAATTTCCATTCTGTCTGCCTAGCCCCAGACAGCCTTGTTCCCATTCCGTTTCTTGCGAGGGAGGCGTGTGAGCATGCATATCACGAAAGAAAATAAAGATCTGGTTCACGAAACTACTCTCTGATGTGACGCTTAAAATAATCAGAACAGTCAATCTGTCATATGAAATGTTCAACAAAACTGTGTGTGTGGTTATTACCGAATGTTCAAGATCTACTGTGGCTCCATGTTGTAATAACTTGTCAACCACCTCCACATGTCCCTCCTGAGATGCAGCCATCAGTGAACTCCACCCATCCTGACGTGACACACAGAGTAGTAGGTAATGAATTTGGCAAAAAATCGTTTTGATTCAGTATCCATGATAAGCCAATCTGAATTATAGTTTTTCATGCCATAAGTCTGGAACGCAATACTTTTACGAATTTTGCCAAATTTAAAATTAGCCGTTGTATCTCTGAACCTTTTGATATCGCTCTTTTGTTGTCCCGTTTCTCGTGGTGGCAGAAAACGTGGTAACAGACGGACAAACCATAGATAATGACCCTAATCGTCACCAATATAGTAAAGCTGCGTTGAGCGGAGCTATATACCATGGGTATTTTCGGGTAAAAAGAAAGACATTGGGGCTGGCTTCTCAAGCAAGCCACACGTTTCTATGCTATTTTGAAAGTGATGGATGCTACATGTATATGTAACTGATAAAACAAAATGCAATCTGCTGTGTTGCTGATCAGACACCTGACCTAGACGACAGACTTTTTCAGAGAGCTCATAGTATGAAGTATGCATGTTCCCTTCACCTGATGTGCTCAGTATTGAGAGTATATAGTTGTGTGGTCAAAAACTATTAGCAAACTAGTGAGGCAAACTGACATTACTAGGCTATCTCATTCTATTATCATACACCGAGATTTTGAACATATTTTACAGGGAGACATGAAAACCATGAGATCCATGATTAGAACATTCTCCTTTATTACCCTATTTAAACTACATAGAGTTGTGAGTATCCTCTATACATAGTATTACTTACTCCCCAATTAGTCTTGTGAACCAGCTGTATTTTTTTGTGGGGAAGGGGAATAAAAAATTTCCGTGCTGTCTGCCTAACCCTAGACAGCCTTGTTCCCATTCCGTTTCTTTCGAGGGAGGCGTGTCAGCATGCGTATCACGAAAGAAAATAAAAGTCTGGTTCACGAAACTACTCCCTGATGCGACACTTAAATTCAGAACGTACAGCAAATCTGTCATCTGAAATGTTCAACAAAACTGTGTGTGGTTATTAGCGAATGTTGAAGATCTACTGTGGCTCCATGTTGTAATAACTTGTCCACCACCTCCACATGTTCATTCTGAGATGCAGCCATCAGTGAACTACTCCCTTTCTCACAAGAGGCACAGGGTAGTAGGTAACAACATAAGTACATTTAATTCGGCGATATATTCACATGATTACATGTGTCTTGCATGCTACACGGATGGACATAAAGATATTTTCTCATGCGCTCACTTACATTCACTCAGTCATTCTTGCAGTGTTATATTATCCATAAACAATACACACCTTATCATGCAGGTCTACTGTGGCTCCATGTTGTAATAACTTGTCCACCACCTCCACATGTCCTTCCTGAGATGCAGCCACCAGTGAACTCCACCCATCCTAACGTGACACACAGTAGTAGGTAATGAAATTGGCAAAAAAACGGTTTTGATTCAGTATCCATGATAAGCCAATCTGAATCGTAGTTTTATCATCTAGGTGGTTTTATAGAGAGTATTATACTAACATGATTACATATCATGCCATGCTAAACCTGACGATGAAATCATACTTTTTGCATTGAGTAGACATGATTAACCTTTCTCATGTGGTCACTTACACTTACTCAATAATGCTTTGCAATTGATACCTCATCTTGAAGATCTACTGTGGCTCCATGTTGTAATAACTTGTCCACCACCTCCACATGTCCTTTTAGAGATGCATACACCAGTGAGCTCCACCCATCCTGACGTGACACACAGAGTAGTAGGTAATGAATTTGGCAAAACACGGTTTTGATTCAGTATCTATGATAAGCCAATCTGATTGCAGTTTCAGTTGGTACTACGCATAGTCTGCACGCAGTACTTTTACGCAAATTCACTAAACTTAATCAGGCCAGTGTAGCTGCTGAACAATGTTAGTCTCGCTCTTTTGTTGTCCCGTTGCGCTGGCGGGTGGCAGAAAAACATGTTAACAGACACGGACACCACGAGTTATGATCCTAAGCGTCACCAATATTGTACATATGTCGAGCTGTGTGAGCGGAGCGTATATACGCATGCTCTCAGGGCAGTCTGGTTCACGAAACTACTCCCTGATGCGACACTTAAATTCGGAACGTACAGCAAATCTGTCATCTGAAATGTTCAACAAAACTGTGTGTGGTTATTAGCGAATGTTGAAGATCTACTGTGGCTCCATGTTGTAATAACTTGTCCACCACCTCCACATGTTCATTCTGAGATGCAGCCATCAGTGAACTACTCCCTTTCTCACAAGAGGCACAGGGTAGTAGGTAACAACATAAGTACATTTAATTCGGCACAAAACAGTTCCGGTGAGTCAGTACCATTAATTTAAAACTAAGCCAATCTGATCCCTAGTTACAATACCATGTAGTTGTGGTTGTCTGCAGTCACAGGAGTGTTTTTGGATTGAGATATATTCACATGATTACATGTGTCTTGCATGCTACACTAAATTCTGAACACATGGGTGGACATGAAGATATTTTCTCATGCGCTCACTTACATTCACTCAGTCATTCTTGCAGTGTTATATTATCCATAAACAATACACACCTTATCATGCAGGTCTACTGTGGCTCCATGTTGTAATAACTTGTCCACCACCTCCACATGTCCATTCTGAGATGCAGCCATCAGTGAGCTCCACCCATCCTGACGTGACACACAGAGTAGTAGGTAATGAATTTGGCAAGAAACGGTTTTGATTCAGTATCCATGATAAGCCAATCTGAATCGCAGTTTCGGTTGGTTTCTATGCCATAAGTCTGGAACGCAGTACTTTTATTCACTAAACATAAAATCAAGCCAGTGTAGTGAACCTTTTGGTTTCACTCTTTTGTTGTCCCGTTGCACGTGGTGTCAGAAAACGTGGTAACAGACGGACAAACCATAGATAACAAGTAAATAAAAAATTCTGCGAATTCAAAAAGCCCTATCTTGTCGCTACTCTTACTCATGACATTAGTTTTGAATAGTGTAGTGTGAAGACTGGCAAACGAATTCTGTAGAGAAAGCAGCATTGTAAAACCGGTTAGTTGAGCGAACATTGAAGTAAACAAAGTCACGATTCAAAACTGAGGACCTGTCAGAGATGGCATTTGCTACCAGTCTTACGTGCATAGGAAACGAGTCATAGCTGCACATCATACGATAGATATCATTCATGCTTTGCGACAATATAGGGCTTGTGTGGAGTAAAATTTACATGAGCAACAAATGTCAGTTTGAAGATGTAAAAATCATCCCATTGTACTACTGCATGACATGCCCAGGTCATCCCTGTCTTGTCTCCTTGCTTTTATGGCATCCCTCTATTCCACACTTTTTTAATTCGCAGAATTTTTTGTTTACTTGTCTCCTTTCCTTTTTTTACGGAATGCACATACATTGGGGCATAATGTCCATATAAAAAGTAACATGTATCTATTGCCTCGGACTGTTAGTCGTCATCTAAATTTTTATTTCACTTCCAAAGTAGATAAGTATACAAAGTTATAGGGAAAACAGCACTTAATTGCCTGAGGCTGTTTGTTGTTGTTTACAAACTTGTAATTGAACTCTTATCATTGTAAATCAGTGTACCAGGACCCACAATAAGCAAATTACAGGCACAATCAATAATTTATTGCCTGAGGCTGTTTGTTGTTGTTTATAAACTTGTAATTTATGTTTCGATGAACTCTCATCGTTGTAAATCAGTGTACCAAGTTTCGCTGTTAGAGGACCCACAATATGCAAGTTATAGGCACAAACATCATTTTATTGCCTGAGGCTGTTTGTTGTTGTTTACAAACTTGTAATCTCTGAACTCTCACCATGGTACATTAGTGTACCAAGTTCCATTGTTAGAGGACCATCCATAAGCAAGTTATAGGCACAAACATCATTTACAAGTATTCATTGCCTGAGGCTGTTTATTATTGTTTACTAACTTGTAATTTATGTTTCGATGAACTCTTATCATAGTACATCAGTGTACCAAGTTTCATCGCTAGAGGATCCACCATAAGCAAGTTATAGGCACAAACACATTTTACAAGTTTTTATTGCCTGAGGCTGTTTGTTGTCGTTTACAAACTTGTAATGTTTACATTTTGATACTAATGATGGGTTGCATGTGTGTACAAAGTTTTATCACTCTGGGTATGAGCTTTACCCAGTTAGCACACTTTATTTGTCTCTATAATAATGTATTGCCTGGGGCTATTTGTTGTTGTTTACATGTAAACAAAATTGTTTACGAAGAAATAAAAATGTTCTTGCATGACCTGTCATGGATTCCAATCTTTGTGCAAAGTTTGATCTTCATATCTTACCCGGTTTTTGAGATACGCTTGTTGAAACTGAACAACAACAACAACAACAACAACAACAACAACAAGAAGAGGAAGAAGAAGAAAATTGAAAAGTGAATAAATCAAGTAACGATTATGCGATTTAAGCTATTTCTTGGATACGTGCTCTTTGTGACAATACAAATTAGTCTGATGTGTCAAAAGTTGGATCTGATTGAAATACAAAGTGAAATATGAAAATCCCAATGTATGGGCATAATGCAGGACAACCTGTGTCATCCCTATATACTAAGTACTACCGTACTTAGTGATGATCCTAATCGTCACCAACATAGTACATATGTACAGCAGTGGTGAGCGGAGCTATATACCATGTGCATTTTCGGGTAAAAAGAAAGGCATTGGGGCTTAAGCAATAAAGCCACATATTTCTATGCTATTTTGAAAATGATGGATGCTACATGTATATGTAAGTGATAAAACAGAATGCAATCTGCTGTGTTGCTGATCGTGCACCTGACCTAGACGACAGACTTTTTCAGAGAGCTCATAGTATGAAGTATGCATGTTCCCTTCACCTCACAGTTCTGAGATTACTTTTTGCACACGTGTTTGCTTGCATTGCGTATGTACATATAGTGTGTGTACCTCTGTTTGCAGGTCTACTGTGGCTCCATGTTGTAATAACTTGTCCACCACCTCCACATGTCCATACTGAGATGCAGCTATCAGTGAACTCCACCCACCCTGACGTGACACACAGAGTAGTAGGTAATGAATTTGGCAAAAAACGGTTTTGATTCAGTATCCATGATTAGCCAATCTGAATCGTAGTTTTTCATGCCTTAAGTCTGGAACGCAATACTTTTACAAAATTTGCCAAATTAAAAATTAGCCAGTGTATCTCTGAACCTTTTGATATCACTCTTTTGTTGTCCCGTTTCACGTGGTGGCAGAAAACGTGGAAACAGACGGACAAACCATGGATAATGATCCTAATATAGTACATATGTTAAGCTGTGGTGAGCGGAGCTATAAGCCATGAGCATTTTTGGGTAAAAAGAAAGACATTGGGCCGGCTTCTTAAACAATGAAGCCACATGTTTTTATGCTATATGGAAAATGACGGACGCTTCATGTATAATTATGTAACTGGTAAAACGGAATGCAATCTGCTGTGTTGCTAATCGTGCACCTGACCTATACAACAGACTCTTTCATAGAACACATGTTCCCTTCACCACTGTTCTGAGATTAAGTTTTGCACACGTGTTTGCATTATGTACATATAGTGTGTGTACCTCTTTTTGCAGGTCTACTGTGGCTCCATGTTGTAATAACTTGTCCACCACCTCCACATGTCCCTCCTGAGATGCAGCCATCAGTGAACTCCACCCATCCTGACGTGACACACAGAGTAGTAGGTAATGAATTTGGCAAAAACGGTTTTAATTTAGTATCCATGATAAGCCAATCTGAATTGTAGTTTTATCATCTAGGTGGTTTTATAGAGAGTATTATACTAACATGATTACACATCATGCCATGCTAAACCTGACCCTGAAATCGTACTTTTGCATTGAGTAGACATGATTAACCTTTCTCATGTGGTCACTTACACTTACTCATTATTAAGTGTTTGTTCGTCTCACAAATGATACGACCTACTTAACGGGCATTGAAGGTCAGATATTTTGTGCAGTGTTCTCTGAAAATACTCCGTTGCAAGCCAGAGCGCTTCAAGCATTGTACGGGCTAATACGTAGTCGCCATTATCATCTTTGTTTATTTTTTCACTGCGGAACAATGCGCATGCAGTTATTACGCTAATTTGACCAGGCCCGCGTGCTCTATGTGTATCTCGAAAGTGCACAAGCAGTTCACCCATCATTAACAATTCTATAGGGATGGTATGATGGGGCTTTGGGTTGGTGTCAGCGGACTGAAACCTGTTCATTACCATGCTTCATGTATCCATCCCTAGCTTGTCTCCCTTGCGTTTGTATACACTCCTATAGGCCTCTTGGTTTTAATTCGCAGGAGTTTTGGAATTTACTTGTCTCCACTCAGTGTTTACGTACTACTAGGTATTAACCCTCCACCGCCGAAACACACGCATTTAGACACACCACTCAGAAATTTAACACACACTGCCCACGCGCATGAGCGGTTAGCGGGCCTTCCTGTTAGTGACTCTATTCCGCGTCGTAAACTATCGTCGTAGCCCCGCAACCTACGCCTTCAACTCGAAAGACGCCACACGCGCGGACGAGTGGAACCAATAAAAGCTTCTGGAGCG